AGACTGAGCAGATTCCGTGATTAATTCATGCTGCACTGTAAGATGTCTCTCTGGAACATTCTGCTCTCTGAGCCGGACTACTTTGGCTTTGCAGCAGCTCCAAATCAGCCCACTGTTCTCAGTTCCTAGTTTGGATAAAATGTGAAAGAGGGCAGATTTGCTAACCAGCATAAAGAGTACAATGTCCATAGGTGAACTACATAGACGGAGCCAAAAACCAGGTGTTATTTTAAAAGTGCGGTTACTAACCACACCTTTATTATTATTGTTATGGCCACAAAAAGGATAGGGATTGCATCAAGATTGCAGTGCACAATAAGGAGTTTAACCCTTTCTCATTCATCTAAAATCTCAATAAAAATCTATTTCCTCCTCCCTTTATTTAAAAGGTTTACATAGACATCCATAACCCTGGGTGGTTCACAAACAACAGTAAAAACAATCGAAAACATAAAAACCATCTCAGAAACTCCCAGCACCCCCAACCGCAACGCATTTCCACGCATCCACAAGGAAGTTGTCTGGGCTCCAGCCTCACAGCACCCTGATGCTTGTGGGAAAAGCCAGATCTTCAAGGCTTTCTGGACGGCTAGGAGGATAGGGGGCCCACCATTTTCAGAGGGAAGGGTGTCCCATAGGCTATTGTCTACACACAATGCGTTCTTATAAAATGCAAACTGGGCTGTATCAAAAACAAGTCACAATTTTTCCTGCTTCTCTTGTGGTTTTTTGGGGGGGGGAGGGGGGTAACCATCTGGACTGCTGAAGATGGGTTTAGGATTTTTATTTTGGCCCTAATAGCTGTTTTTCTAAACTAACTTGGCCCTGGGAGAGGAAAAAGCTGGATGCGTAAGGGCAAGCGAAAGAATTTATGGGATATATGTGTGAGATACAAGCTCCAGATTAAAATTATCACAGGCTACCCATGATCATTAATACAGCACAATGAAGACTCTGCTTTCTCATGCCACCCAACTAGACCATAGAAATAAATCAGACCTCCTTTCCTTGGTTCATTATTCCTCCCTATTGCTAGCAAGCTGCAGTGACACCTACAGTACTGGGAAGTATATTCCAAGCGTAGCATTGCCTTCCCCAGTGGAAGTAGGGCAAATTAGGGACAGGCTGTTCTCTGTCCTCTGCATAAATCTTTACCTGTGCTGGTGCTTTATTTGCAAATTAGACTGGAATACCTGCTTTGTAGCTTTCTACCTATTATGTTTAGCATTGCTGTGAACTGTTTCTTGCAGCTGTTGTTAAGAATAAGTCTCTGCTTACTGAATAGGTCAGCCATTATACAATATATACTGCTCAGAACAGAGAGAAAAAATGATCAGAGGTGAGATTGGTAGGATTCACTATCCTACTAAGACTAATCTAGCAGGTTAGGATTTTCTACCTAATATGGCTATTGATACTGAAAGTGACAGCATAGACAAAAAGGGTGCTCATGCAGTACCAGTTACTACTTGTCCTTTCAACAGTCTTCCTCCATCCCTAATTTAAACAGAGTAATGGCTTCGTACTGTGAAATGGAACTATTTCTTAGGAAAATGATTAGATGCTGTTTTATTATTGTGGCTGACTTCTTTGGAAAATTAAAATGTATAATAATTTCATACTTGAAACAGATAGAATTATCATATTATCCCAACAATATTACAGCCTCCTAGGGGAACAATAATATTCTATTTGTTCTTATCTTCTATAAAGCCACATTGCACATCTGGAAAGTTTTAATACTCTGCTTTTGATCTTGACGTATATAGATGCATTGAGGCAAAGTATTTATTGTGCAATTACTTTACATCATTTTTGAAATGTCACAGGGTGCAGATGTCAGTATCTTATTTTAAATCTCGTTACCCCTAACTTCTTCCATTATTTTAATTTTTTATTTATGTATTTATTTATCAAATTTATATGGCTTCCTATCTCACACAAGGTGACTCTGGGTGGTGTACAACAAAACCAACAATTAAAATATACTACAAAGACCGCTTAAAACAATTAATTAAACAAACAAACAAAAAAACTCAAGATCATGAGAGGGTTAAAATCAGAATGTTATATGTGATGCAACCAGCTTGTGAGTTCTCTGCTGTCAGGGGATCCCCAGGCCTGTTGAAAAAGCTATGTTTTAAGGGATTTCTGGAAGGTCACAAGGGTTGGGGCTAATCTCACCTCAGCGGGGGATGATATTCCAAAGGGCGGCAGAAACGGCTCTTCTCTTGGGTCCCATCAGATGACATTTCTTCATGGACGGGACCCACAACATGCCTCTCCTGCTGGACCTGATGGGAAGAGGCAGTCCCTCAGATAACCCAGCTCCATGGCATGTAGGACTTTAAAAGTCAAAACCAGCACCTTGACTTGTACCTGGAAGCAAATTGGCAACCAATGCAGTTCATGAAGCAGAGGTATAACATATATCCTTCTAGTGGCCCACATAACTGCCCATACCGCTGCATTTTGCACCAGCTGAAGCTTCCAGATACTCTTTCAAAGTAGACCAATGATCTCTCTTCCACCACCATTTTTTCTTCTCCCCACTGAAAGAGTGAGGCACAGCTACAGGGCCTTCACTGTGTTCATTGAGCCCGCAGCAGTATTGAATTTGAAAGATTTGGGCTTTCCTGAGACCGTGGTAAAGCAGAATGGCCTTTCCTGGTTACACTGACCTCCGTGGGCTGGTATAGGTGCCAGTTTTGGAACGACCTGTGCTCTCCTGCTTTTGTCCTGCTCTCATGAGAATGCAAGGATAGTACTCTTTCAAAACTCTGCCCTTCCACAAGTCTGTTCAACAGGTTTACAGAGATGGGACATTTTGAAAAGGTGGTAAACTGTCTATCTTGAGGAAGTTGATCTCTATGTATTTTTGTGGGACACTCTATGTGCTTGTAGACATTGTAGGAGAGCTATGTTCTCTTCCTGATCAAAGATGTCAGACTCTGAATATCCCATTCTGATGCAATGCTGTGAATAGCAGATAGTTTCCTGACAGCTGCTGATGCTTAGAAAGAGGGAGAGCAGAAAACTGCAGAAAGTTTAACCAGTTTATTTGCTTTTATATCCTTTGCTTATTAAATCCCCACAGATTAGCAATTGTGGCAGCAGATTTTATGCCAGTATAGTTTTCTGATAACTTAAGGATGGTGGCTAGTTCTTTGAGTTGATGGTAGGGAAAGACACGCAGACAGAGGGTCAAAAGAACCCACAACTTATTTTGAGGACTTCCAGTGAGGATTCATGGTGAACTAAACGTCCCTGAAGAAGTGGGGACAGCATTGCAATGAAGATTGGCAGCCAGATGGTGAATTCTGGCTGGCAAAAACTCTCCAGAAAAAGGAGAGATCGTGAGATCGCCCACATGTACTCCAGACAGCTGCTCCTTGTGAATAAACTGAAGGAACCATGGTTTTTGTGTCGACTTGTGAGTTGAGGGGCTGGGAGTTGAGGGATTTCAACCAAGCTTGCAGCCATAAGGTAGTCTATATGGACACAAGGTTTGCCAAACCTAATTTCTTAATCACTTTTGGAATTCTTAATTGCTTTTCAACTATTAAGAAACTTCGGAGAGACAAATTTTATAGCACTCACAGTGAGTTTCCTTCAATCCTTAGTGAAAGAAGTTTTAAATATAAGATTAAGGACTTAAAAAAAAATCATCTTTTAGAATAAACAGCAAAAGGGTGATTAGAATGTTGATTTTAGAAAGTTACAATGGACTAAGGATCCAGATGGATTTGAAATAAGATTTTGAAATTAATTATAAGAATCCTTGCTGTGTGAAAATGCTGTTGTTTTGAATTAAAAAAAAAAAAAAAAGGTTAGACACTACAGGGAACCAGAAGGAACTAAAGATTACAATTAAAGGAGAAGAACACTTAAATTTGACTTACTAATAATGAATGGAGCAACATACTTTATCATCAGATGTATTGAAGGATATTTGTAAACAATGTACTCAAAAGTTAATTTTAAGAAGTCTCCCATTATATATAGACTGCCATTATATATAGACTGCATGTAAAAGATGTTATTGAATAAAAACAAGTTCTTCCGGACAAAACAGACTGACTTGAAAGTGGATTTAAAAATGACAAGCTACAAGAATGATATGGAAAAAGATGCCATGCTGGATATACAAATGAAACCAGCTGTCTGAATAATTAAAAGGGATATACAAATAAACCAGAAGAGTGACTTGGATAATTTTCCTATACTGGATTTATGAAAGAGACCTGTTAAAGTTTGAAGGATTTTGTGAGAAGAGACAAAGAAAAAATGAAAATAAATCAAGTTCTAGGACATTATATGAAGGGATTAAAGACCAAAATTGTTAAAAGTAAAAAGAAGGAATATAAAGTTGGTTTATTTGATCAAGGTT